ACTGTCCATGACCAGAACCACCGTCCATGTCCAGAACCACCGTCCATGACCAGGACCACTGTCCATGTCCAGAACCACCGTCCATGACCAGGACCACCGTCCATGACCAGGACCACCGTCCATGTCCAGGACCACCATCCATGACCATAACTACTGTCCCATGACCAGAAGGTCATCAAACATCCAACCTTCATCTATTCTTTCTCCAACCTTAACCCATCCATCTTCTGACATCCATCATTCATCCAACATCCAACCTTCATCCATCCTTCACCCATCCTTCATCCATCCTTCACTCATCCATCATTCATACTTCATCCAACATCCATCCTTTATCCACCCTTCACTCATCCTTCATTCATACTTCATCCAACATCCTTCCAACATCCATCTTTCATCCATTCCTCAGCCATCCTTCACTCATCCTTTACCCATCCTTCATCCATCCAGTTCATTCTCTTTGGGCCAAGCTTCTGATCCTTTGACATCCTGAGTAACTTGGACTTAAAGTGACGTTTCTACCTTTTATCACGCAGAACAATTAAAGACAGCTGCAGCTCGGAGGCTCGTCCATCCATCCGTCCATTTGTCCATCCATTAATTTTCTTCCGCTTATCAGGGGTCGGATCGCGGGGGTAGCAGCTTAAGTAGGGAGGCCCAGACTTCCCTCTCCCCAGCCATTGGGCCAGCTCCTTCGGGGAAATTCCAAGGCGTTCCCAGGCCAGCCAAGAAACATAGTCCCTCCAGTGTGTCCTGGGTCTTCCTCTGGGTCTCCTCCCAGTGGGATGTGTCCGGAACGCCTCACCAGGGAGGCGTCCAGGAGGCATCCTAACCAGATGCCCGAGCCACCTCAACTGGCTCCTCTCAATGTGGATAAGCAGCGGCTCTACTCTGAGTCCCTCCCGGATGATCAAGCTTCTCACCCTATCTCTAAGGGAGAACCCAGACACCCTGCGCAGAAAACTCATTTCGGCCGCTTGTATCCGAGATCTCGTTCTTTCGGTCACAGCTCAAAGCTCATGACCATAGATGAGGGTGGTAACGTAGATTGACCAGTAAATTGAGAGCTTCACCTTTTGACTCAGCTCTCTCTTCACAACGACAGACCTGTACAGCGTCCGCTTCACTGCAGACACTGCACCTATCTGCCTATCGATCTCACGGTCCATTTTTCCCTCATTCGTGAACAAGACCCCAAGATACTTGAACTCCTCCACTTGGGGCAGGACCTCCTCCCTGACCCGGAGAGGGAACTTCATCCTTTTCCAGCTCAAGACCATGGCCTCGGATTTGGAAGAACTGATCCTCATCCAGGCCGTGTCGGACTCGGCTGCGAACCGCTACAGCGAAAGCTGTACATCATGATCTGATGAAGCCAATAGGACCACATCATCTGCAAAAAGCAGAGACGCAATCCTAAGGTCACCAAAACGAATCCCCTCAACATCTTGGCTGCGCCTAGAAATTCTGTCCATAAAAGTTATGAACAGAATCGGTGACAAAGGGCAACCTTGGTGGAGTCCAACTCTCACCGGGAACAAGCCCGACTTACTGCCGGCAATGCAGACCAGGCTCTGACACAGGTCATACGGGGACCTAACAGCCCGTATCAAAGGGCCCAGTACCCCATACTCCCAGAGTTCCCCCCACAGGGTTCCCCGAGGGACGCGGTCGAACGCCTTCTCCAAGTCCACAAAGCACATGTAGACCGGTTGGGAAAACTCCCACACACCCTCCAGTACCCTGCTGAGAGTGTAGAGCTGGTCCAGTGTTCCACGACCAGGACGAAAATCGCACTGCTCCTCCTGAATCCGAGGTTCAACTATCCGATGGACCTTCCTCTCCAGAACTCCCGAATAGACCTTACCTGGGAGGCTTAAGAGCGTGATCGTGATCCCCCTGTAGTTGGAACACACTCTACGGTCTCCCTTTTTGAATAGGGGGACCACCACTCCGGTCTGCCAATCCAGGGGAACTTCCCTCGATATCCACGCAATATTGCAGAGTCGCGTAAGCCAACACAACCCTACAACATCCAGAGCCTTAAGGAACTCCGGGCGAATCTGATCCACCCCTGGGGGCCTGCCACTGAGGAGCTTTTTAACCACCTCGGTGACCTAAGCACCAAAGATTGGAGGGCCCGACTCAGAGTCCCCAGGCTCCGCTTCCTCAGTGGAAGACGTGCCGGTGGGATTGAGGAGGTCTTCAAAGTATTCTGCCCATCGACCCACGACATCCCGAGTTGAGGTCAGCAGCACACCACCCCCACTGTAAACAGTGTTGGTGGTGTACCGCTTTCCCCCCCGAGACACCGGATGGTGAACCAGAATCGCCTCGAAGCCGTGCTAAAGTCATTCTCCATGGCTTCTACGAACTCCTCCCATGCCTGAGTTTTTGCCTCAGCGACCACCCGAGCTGCATGTCGCTTGGACTGCCGGTACCCATCAGCTGCATCTGGGGTCCCGCATGCCAAAAAGGCCCAATAGGACTCCTTCTTCAGCCTGACAGCATCCCTCACCACCGGTGTTCACCACCGGTTTCGAGGGTTGCCACCACAACAGGCACCAATAACCCTGCGGCCACAGCTCCGGTAAGCCGCCTCGACAATAGAGGCACAGAACATCCCCCACCTCCCCCGGAACATGTTCTAAGTTCTCCCGGAGGTGGGATTTAAGGCTCCGTCTCACAGGAGACTCTGCCAGACGTTCCCAGCAAATCCTCACAATACGTTTGGGCTTGACAGGTCTGACCGGCATCCTCCCCCACCATCGGAGCCAACCCACCACCAGGTAGTGATTAGTGGACAGCTCTGCCCCTCTCTTCACCCACGTGTCCAAGACATGTGGCCGCAGATCAGATGAGACGACGACAAAGTCGATCATCGAACTGCGGCCTAGGGTGTCCTGGTGCCAAGAGCACATATGGACACCCTTATGCTTGAACATGGTGTTTGTTATGGACAATCCATGACAAGCACAGAAGTCCAACAACAGAACACCACTCGGGTTCTGATCAGGGGGGCCATTCCTCCCAACCACATCCCCCCCCAGGTCTTACTGTCATTGCCCACGTGAGCATTGAAGTCCCCCAGCAGAACAAGGGAGTCCCCAGGAGGTGCACTTTCCAGTACCCCCTCCAAGGACTCTAAAAAAGGGTGGATAATCTGAATTGCCGTTTGGTGCATAAGCACAAATGACAATCAGAATCCGTCCCCCCACACGTAGGCGGAGGGAGGCCAACCTCTCATTCACCGGGGTGAACCCCAACACACAGGCACCAAGATGGGGGGCAATAAGTACGCCCACTCCTTCTCGGCGCCTCTCACCAGGGGCAACTCCAGAGTGGAAGAGTGTCCAGCCCCTCTCAAGGAAACTGGTTCGGAGGCTCGTGTTGAGTGGAAAGTTGTTTCCAGGTTTTCAGCTCTGCATGAGACATGGAAAATTTCCAGCTTCATGGAGGCTGAGGGTGATGAAGATGAATCTGGAGGAAGAGCAGCAGGTTTACATCTACTCACAGAGAACATCTGTCAAAGCTCCAGAGACAGAAACATCTTCCCCCTCTGACCTTTGACCCTTAACCTGACATTTAGGAGTTTGACTTCTCTGAGCACTGCACAGTCTGGCCTTCAGGGTGAATCTGCTGTGAGGACTATCAGCTCTTTTAAGTGTTTTCCACTTGTGAATAATCTTTACCATACCATTTTATTTATAAAGCACTTAAAACGGCAACAAGGGCAACCAAAGTGCTGATCTTTGATGGACTCCTGATGGTGTGAGCATTCCCTTTACCCTTCCCCGATATGGGTTCACTGCTGATGTCTTTCCATCCTGATGTTGTGTTAAAACACTTTAAGAGATTTTCACCTAAATAAATTATTACACACACACACGCGCGCACACACACACACACACACATCTATATATATATATTTTTTTTTTTTTGATTACACATTATTATATTTAGCTTGATTTAAAGCAGAAGTTCAGTCCTTTTGTTTTCAGCTGTTGAGGAGAACTTGATCAGGCTTCACCTTCATTAAAGCTGGTTGTCCGTTACATCATCACCAGGTTTATCGACAATATATATAAATTATTTGGGAGTGGTGATGCAGAGGTTAGAAGATGGATCTGTGATCAGAAAGTTGCAGGTTCAACTCCTGGTACCGTCAACATCAAAATGTGGGTGGAAAAGGTGAAACACCCACACCTGCCTCCACCCTCATTTGCCCCACTCTGGGCCCCTGAGCAAGGCCCTTAACTCCCACCATCCGCTCCCTAAACAGGTCTCTCTTGAAAATGAGTTCTTGTGGCTCAATGAGACTACCTGGATAAATAAAGGGTAATTTTTTATTTTTTTTTAATTCAGAAACTGATTTTATTTCCACTTCTTGTTTCCTGTCTTTCTGGTTTCCACTTCCTGTCTGCTCAGGAAATTAAACCAGCAGCCCAGTGCTGCACCTGAACGCAGCACAGTTAACGTCCCCGTGTCTCTCTGCAGCTGTCCTGTATGTGGGAGGACGTCCGGTGGCTCAGACAGAGCATGTCCGTCTCAATGTCGTCCTCGTCCACACTGCAGGCCCGACACAAGATGCTGACCGCCACCGGGCAGATGCAGGTGAGACCGACCCGAGTTGAGAAACTGAACTCGTTTCGCGAAATGTTCTGTTCTTAGAAACAACAAAAAAAGTTTGATTATTTTACTATAAAAGTTTGTACTCCGCCCAAAGAACCTCCTGGGAACACATAACCTGGGTCGGGTCCACTATGAGCCCATCAAAGATCGCCATGGCAACGTGCTGTTGGTGACGATCCGAGACACGGAGAGCCAGCACTCACTGGTCAGCGGGAAGTGGATGCAGGTGACCAAACTGCAGAGCCAGAGGAAGTCCCTGTCCACGCCCGAGGAGCCGTACGCCCTCGACATCCTCATCATCACCATGCAGGTCAGAGGGCGGAGCTTAAAACATTATTTGTAGGTCGGAGGGTGGAGCTTGGTCCTTACTGTGCGGTTAAGTGGGAGGAGCCTATTATTTCTCATGCAGGTCAGGGGGCAGAGCTTATTTTTTTTTGTAGGTCGGAGGGTGGAACTTGATCCTTACTGTGCAGTTAAGTGGGAGGAGCTTATTTCTCATGCAGGTCAGGGGGCGGAGCTTTAAATTATTTGTATGTTGGAGGGTGGAGCTTGGTCCTTACTGTGCACTTAAGTTGGCGGAGCTTGTTATTTCTCATGCTGGTCAGGGGTGGAGCTTTAAAATTATTTGTAGGTTGGAGGGTGGAGCTTGGTCCTTACTGTGCAGTTAAGTGGGAGGAGCTTATTATTTCTCATGCAGGTCAGGGGGCGGGGCTTTTTAAAGTAATGAGAAAGTTTCTGTTGAAATTAGATAAGTAACTTGTTGCCATGGTAACCACAGGTTTTAAAACAGTACAAAGATGGCTATTTTGAGAAAATACTCAAGTAAACAAGTTTACATCCTGATGCATGCTCAATAATCCAGGTAGAAAAATCTAAAAAAGTTAAATCTGGTCCTCTGGACATTCAAAAGAATATAACAAAGCAAAAAACAACAACAAAAAAGTAGAAATGTTTCGTCTCTCATCCTGAGGACTTCCTCAGTCTGAGGTGCTGTATTCAGCTCAATCTCTTAAATAGCACCTTCTCAGAGTGGATCAACCAGTTTGCTGCTGACAACCAGAACCAGCTGATCACATGCTCAAGAAGGAC